TATATATATATATATTTTTTTTATGATTTTGAACCACACTGAAAACTGATACTTTTTGTTTTTTCTTTGTGTGTGTGCGTGTGTAATTTTTTAAAAATAAATGATGTATTGTTAGTTTTACTCTTGGTCTTTGTAAAAACAAAAACCATCAGAGTAGTTGAAATCTATCTACAGTCAGTAACTTATTCGCACCAGTAGATATCACTGTCTTTATACATTCAGACTCGTAACGAGAACATCAGAGTGAAAACTGATGTAATCAAGTAAAATTGAGAAATTTAAAAAGTTTTTATCACTCATCCAGAGTGGTAAGTACTAGAAAAGTATTTTTAATGTTTGTAAGTCTTTTTTAAATCAGTTAACATGCAGTGTTTACCCAAACAGAGTTTAAAAAAACTTTAATTCATTAACTTGCTTATGTACTAGGTGTGTACAATTTACAGGTTAAAACGGCATGCTGGTTTAAATTGGCCGACAGATGCTGCCTTTTATGACCCCCTGAGCCGTTTTGTTCGATTCACGAACAAATGACTCATTTGAATCGAATCTTTTACGGAATCGTTTAAAGAGAGCTCATGAGCTCATGCATTACTGATTGGGCAACCAAACTTTCACAAGTTATTGTTACTTCCAGCTATATCTCTCTGGATTGTTGTAGCCTACATAAAGACGGCACGACAGGAATGGGTTTCCTGCAGTATTACACTGACCAGGGGTGCGTTTCCCAAAAGCAACTATGGTCGCAAGTTCTGTCGTTACCAATAGAGTTCAATGGAACTCTGGAGTTGTTAATGAGGGCAGTAAACCGAGGGCCTATAAGCTCATGCCTGTGGTTTATTCTGCTTGGTACACTGTATGTTTGAAGCACAGTGTGTGGGTGAGGTGTAATTTCTTACATCTGCAAAGGAACTTCATGAGAAGAACAGACTGCAAAACTGACTTAAGAGTCAGACTGAAAGTGCAACTTAAGTAATCTGGTAACCACTCGTCAGTCAGGATGATTTTCTTTCTTCTGTATACGCTTATCTTTTTCATCTTTTCAGGTGAGTCACTGAAAATATATAGTTGATTGGACGTTTTATCAGATGATTTTGTATTTAATGAAACAGGGTTAACAATTAATCAGTTTTAAGGCCCGTTTACACCAAAGACGACAACTATAAAATCGTTTAACCCTTAAAACCTAAAATCATTCTAAATTTAAAAGAATAGCAGAGTTCATGCTAAAACTACACACATAGGAACCATATCATTTGAATTGCTTTCAGAACTTTTTCTTTCAGCTGACAAACTTTTTACGAACATTGACAGCCAATCAGAATCCAACCTGCTTAAGAGCTCAAGCATTTAAAGCAGCAGAAAGTACATAGGTGTGAACACTTACCGTTCTTGGTGTGAACGGGTCTTCACACATTTTTACAGCATATACTTAACCGTCAAAAGTTCATAATCTTTATCATATGTACTTGAGAAAGTGCTTTAAATGATTTTCAGGTGTGTTTGGTGCTGCTGATACTGATGAAATCCAGTCCATATCAGTGATGAGGGGAGATTCTGTCACTTTACACACTGATGTTACTGAAGTACGATGACGTGATACTGTGGACATTTGGATTAAAAGACAATCTGATTGCTGAAATCCATAAGCAGGTCGTCTATATGTATGATAGTAAAGGACGTTTCAGACAGGACCAAAAGACCGGATCTCTGACCATGAGAAACATCAGAACTGAACACTCTGGACTTTATGAACCAACAGTCATCACCAGCATACTGAATTGCATAATGTTAATAATTAATTTACATTTTTGGCCATATAAATAATAAATGCACCAAGTTGCTATTTTTGCTCAGTTTGGGCTTCTGAATAAAAACGAGCTGTTTTTTACCCCTCCATATTCTCATTTTATCACTATATGGGCAATAAAAGCCTGCTGTATCAAATATATGATAAAGCAAAAAATATTTTATCATTTTATCTAAAGGTTAAAAAAAAGTTTGATTTTCTGACTATTACTGAATTATTTCAAGCTTTACATGGCTTAAAACAAGTTAGTATTTTATAATATGAAAGAACTTTAAACATACCAGTACTTTTCAAGAATACACAAAATGTATAAGTCTTTGGTGGTTTGATATACACCAGGGGCCTCATTTATAAAATACTGCGTAGAAAGAATCCTAAATTAGACAATGTCCAAATCTGTTACAAGCGGCAAGAATGGCTTATATTTCCAAAGACCATCAGCACTCGGGCAAACAAAAGTGCGTACGTCTGCTCAGACCCTGACGTGGCGCTAAGCTCTTTTCCACGTCAAAGACCGTTTTTATAAATATGAACATTGCCGTGGATTTTTGCGTATGCACACTCTACGATCAAATCTGTGTGTACGCACGTTTTATAAATGAGGCCCCAGGGCTGTCCAAGCTCGGTCCTGGAGGGCCGGCAGAGTTTAGTTCCAACTTGCCTCAACACACCTGACTGGAAGTTTCTATGCCTAGTAAGAGCTTGATTAGCTGGTTCAGGTGTGTTTAATTAGGGTTGGAGATAAACTCTGCAGGACACCGGCGCTCCAGGACCGAGTTTGGACAGCCCTGATATACACCATAGCAAATACAAAAATCTGAACAGCTATTTGAAAACGGTCTGACTTGCTTTCCCCCCCCCCCGTGACCAGTGTGTCAGAAACAGAGTAGTGCAGCTTGCTATTACACAGGAAACCACTGCGTTACTACTGTTCCATAAGCGCCACCTACTCTCAGAAGGGTTATTCTATGGAAATGTCCATTTTTCTGTCCCTAGCCTTTACAGAAACATTACACTTGAAAAACACTTTAGGGTTACAATTTTTTTATATTTTAAAATAAAACAATGTGTTATTTGAACAATTACACCTTCTTGAGCCATCAATGTGGCAATATTTGTTTTTAATTAATTATAAAGAATTCCAAGCACCACAAAACTGCTCTTCTCCACAGCCATGTACAGAGGGCAAGTGCTTTATTTTGAGCTCAAAAACAGGTTTTTCTACCATTTAAAATACAATGATGTATTCATAACTATCAAATATATGATGTAAATGACATTAAAAAACAAAATGCCAAATACGTATTTATGAAATATATAATGAAAGTAGTGGCCCCCTGGAGTTGTGTCACTGGTGTTACCGTTTAACAAAAATATTTTATTTTGAAATAAAAATCACATTGATGACATCACTTGACTTCCTTCCTCCTATTTCCTGAAGATCTATGAAAAAAAGGCCCATGTGAAGTCCACAATTGTCACTGGTGTTATGGTCACTGGTGTTACCTTCCTTATTGGTTACACCAGTGAAGATCAGTTTATGTTTATGCTCTTTTACTAACTGCTTTCACTAATTGCCAAATGTAACAAATTAGTCTTATCTACTTAATTATAGTTGAAGAATAAGTATCTTTGGTCTTATGTACAGGTGCATCTCAATAAATTAGAATGTCATGGAAAAGTTAATTTATTTCAGTAATTCAACTCAAATACAACACTATTAACATCAAAATCAATACATGTAATTTGAATAATCAACAGACAAAACTACAATACAACAACTTCAATGCCTTCTTAATAAACTTCTATTAACTTTATTCAGTAAAGTTTATTTATC